CAGAAAGAGGAAGAGAAAGCTGTGGTACAAAAGTACAACCTAATTTATTCTAGCACAGAGGGTTTTTGTGTTCTCTGTGGATGTATCAATTAATAATTTATGCCATGTCCTATTCCAAAAATGGGTTTGAAGCAGGAACCTGTGGCCTGGGGTCTCTGGGGCTCTGTGTAGCTACTGTGAATCAAGGAGAGTGGCTCTGTTTCTGGAGATTCTTGAATACTTCTAAAGAGGCTCTGCCTAGCCATCTCCTCACTCCCTCCCACTCGAGTCCACCAGAGGCATCGTGTTCTTTGATCACAAAGGTGCTCACTGACTTCACCAGGGTTTCTGAGCTGCAGCCCAAAGCCCGGCTCTGGAGGTTGATATTGTACCTCACTTCCTCCCTCTTTCTGGAAAAGGGGTGCATCAAGACTCTTGGCAGTGTAGCAATTCTGTGGTGTAATGGCAAGAAAACGGGGACAGGACATTAGATTGGCTCTATGGATGGAATATTTTTCATTTCTGCAGAATGAAGAGTCCTGGGGAATTCAGGAGAGGAACCTTTCAGTGGAGGAGAAAGGCTGTTCAGTGTAGCCCTTCCAGAGACTGTTATTGCTTCTGGAATGTGTAGCCTGCCTTGGGGCACAGCCCAGAGGGTCTGAGAGCCCCTCATTTTCCCTCAAGTAATGCCCTTGACTTGATAGTGTCATGGAAACCATGGCTTTGTGTTTTTTTCTCTTACCTTGGACTCAGTGACCTAGAAGCAGGCTTCTTTGTTTTGGCTTGAGGCCTCCTAGTGTTTGCTTGTGCAAAGCAGTCATTTTCAAAATTGATGTCATCTTAAGCCCTGGGACTCTTGCATCAATGTTGATCTTCGGCAGAAGCTGGATGTAATAAGGCAGGGCCTCTCCATCTCAGAGCTGTGAACTTCTGGGGCCAGTAGTTTGTCATGGGCTGTCCTGTCTGTGGCAGGGTGTTTAGCAGCATCTGTGGCCTCTACCCACAAGATATTAGTGTTACTCTCTTCCCCCAGTTGTGGCAACGAAGCATGTCTCCAGACATAGCCAAAGGTCTTCTGGAAGGCAAAATTTCCTTCTTTTGAAGATCACTGTGTGAAGACCTTAAAGTAGGGGCTGTTGATTTAAAGCAGGAGAGGGATACTGGTGTGCCACCTCTTGACTCTCTCTCCACCCCTCCTCTCCCTGTCCATGGTTGAAACAGGGACATCCAGATGGAGAACTGGGCTGCAGGTCTGTGGGGTCAACCAGCGTCATGCACTCTGCCACATTCCCATCGCTGTTCTGAGCTCTTCTGCCTTCTCGCTTGCACAGCAGGAGTGGGTTTGTGAGAGGCCTTTGCAGGGGAAGCTGGTCCAGCCTGTGGTTCTGGAACAGAGCACTCAGCTGTGGCTCTGCACAGGGTTCAAGTACCTGACCTTCCTTTAAAAATGTATAGTTATTGATGTTTTTCAAATGACACACACACACAAAAATACTCTATGGAAACAACTGGAACAACCCAGAAAAACACAGAAATGGAGGAGACATATGTAATTATACTAGACAGAGAATCCACTCTACTATTAGCAAAAGCAAAACAGCTGGGCACGGTGGGTGGCACACACCTGTAATCCCAGAGACTCCGGAGGCTGAGGCAGGAGGCAGGAGGATCCTAAGTTCAAGGTCAGTTTGTGCAATTTAGCAAGACCTATCTCAAAGCAAAAAATAAAAAGGGCTGGGAATGTGGCTTAGTGGTAGAATGCTCCTGGGTTCAATTTCCAGTGCAAAACACACACACACACACACACACACACATATACCCCAAACACCTTCCCTCCTCCTCTTCATTTATTTATTATATTTTGTAGAGCCACTTAAACTTGTGGCCTCCCTATTAGCACAAGCCAGCCAGCAGAGTTACCATAACTGACCCCTCTGGTCTGGTACCAAGCAGTGAGTCATAAGAAAACTTGGCAGGCGCCTGCTGATGTCATCTAAAATGGCAGGGCTGCATCTTCACTGTTTCTATCCACCTTGGAACCTGCTCTGATGTGGCCATCGGTTGTTTCTTGACTCTGTTTATAAATTTCTGCACTAACAGTTTTCCTGGAGGTCATGAATGACAAGTTTCCCTCACCCTTCTGCCCCATGGGGTTTTTATCAATGATTTCTGAGAAATGACAACTTGCAGCAGAAGCATGATGCCATTTTTAGCTTGGAAACTGAGAAAAGATGGCTCACCTTCTATACGGGATGAGAGGAAACCATCTCCATGGCTGGTGCTTCCTGAGGACCTGTCCCACAAGGCCTCCTCAACATGCTCCTTCAGGCCTCATGTCATTCTCATGAGGCAGGTATTTTATTGGACCCATGTGACAGGGTCACATGGCACAGACAGGGGAAGTAACCTGGGTAGGGTCTTGTGGGTTGAGTCATCCTGGGGCGGGGCTGGGCTGGGCTGTGTGCCCTGGTAGCTAGACCCTATGTAAAGGTCACTGACCATTTTCTATAAAGAGCCAGAGTAAATGTTTCAGGTTTTGTGGACCACACTGTCTCTGCAGCAACTGTCCAACTCTGTCATGACTTGAGAGTAGCCACAGACAGTGAGTATGAATGTGGAACTTTGAATTTCACTTAGTTTTCACAGGTCACAAAATATGATTCTTTTTTTGATTTTCACAAAAAATGTAAAAGCTTAATTCAGCTCTAGGCCTAGCAGACAGTGGGCTGGATTTGGCCCCTGGGCTGTGGTTTGCCAGTCACTTTTCTAGAGCCCCGGCTTCTAATCATGCTGTTGTTCTGTGGCTGTAAAACAAAATGCCATTTCCTGATTTAGGGAAACTCAGATGTTATCAGAAGAAATGGGAGCCATTATTTTATTTACCAGAGGACTCTTTGCATTGAGTTTGTTCATTTCCCCCCATATCTCAGTGTGCGTAAGGTGGGTAAGGGTCAGTTTGTGGGAATGGGGGTGTGAGGGCAAAATGAATAAAGTTTTAGAATACCATAATGATTGACAACTCAACCATCATAAAAACACATTTATAGAATGCTAATGTGGACAGAGGAAAAGGATTTCATCTATTTAAATAATTTGGTTGACAGCTACTTGTCGGGAGCAGATCCTTACAGGAAACTGGGTTCCCATGTATGAATGGTACTCTGTACAAACACTGTGATCTAATTAGTAATTGATGTGACCATGGCCCAGGCAATATGCTGGGGGGACTTGGTGGTCAGGGAGTTCTACCTCCCCTCCCTGGCCATCCTTTTCATCTGAAATGTTGCCAAGATCCCTACCTTGGTGGGACCAGACCAAGCAAACTGCCCTGCAGTCATAAGACTTCCAGGGAGAAGACTTTGAATTTGGAATCCAATACTATCCTGTCCACCTGGTCCATGTCCCCAGCAGATGCCAGCGTCTCTGGCTGGTCAGCAGGGTCTCTGGGAGAATGTGGTACAAAACAGGCTCTCGGCATCCCTTGTCACTGTGTGGTTCTGAAATGCTTCCAGAGGCCCTGGCAGCCACAGCCCTGCTGCTTTCTTGGCTCTGAATAGACTTGGTGGCAGATGGCAGAGCCATGGGTGTGGTGAGGCTGGAGAGGAGACGTCTGGGGAAGGTGGCTGTCACTTTTCTGGCCTGAGTGTGCCTTGAGTACCTCTGTCCCAGGGTGAACTGTCACCTGTCTGTACTCTTCACTGAGATGGTACCTAGACCTCTTGGGCACTGACCAGAGGGTCCAATCCTGGAGGGAAAGGTGGACAGTGGAAGGCCTTTCCCTGAAATCTTTTGATTCTCTGGGGACAGCAGGAGTGTATGGACATTTGCTTTTCACATGGCTTTAGAGCCAGAAAGGCCCTTGGTAATCAATACGGTAGCAATGATTTTCGACCTGGGGACCCCCAGAATTGCAATGAGCGGGGTTTGTCTCTAGCAATTTTGACAATGTCAATTTTGTCAAACCCAGAAATGAGACTCATACCTTTGAACAGCCTTTTCATGTTAATAACGTTTTCCAAGTTTCTTGGCTTTGGGCTGGAATTTAGGCACCAGATGAATTAGCTCTGGCTTGTGTCTGTTGTTGAAAAGCTGTGCTTAACAGCAATTTATATCTCTGATTAATAATCTGAGGTGAATTAATTATTACTTAATATATGTAGTGTGCTTGCTAGATACAAACCTCCTTAAACACGAGGTCTCTTGGGGGAAAGCTCTAGAAAGACATTGAAAAGGCGAGGAAATTGCTGATCTAGTGCAACCCTCTCCTGTTACAAATGAAAAAATGAGAGACCCAAAAAGCTTAGAGCACTTGCTCAAAGCCACTGAGACTTAAGTCTCAGAGATAAGGCTCAAATGTGACTTCTAGACTACTCGTTCCTCACTCTTTTTATAAATACTATAGTGCTGCACTGGTCTTAGGGAGCTTCCTCCTCTCTGGAGTCAGCGCAGCCAAATCGAATCATTGGTTTTCTTGGGCTGCAGGTTGGATTGGGCTGTAGTCACTGTTAGTGCCCGGTCCCTGGTGGGTGCCTGAGCCAGGAGTGTGTTTGGCTGAGCTTTTCTACCCAGAAGCTATGCCCACAGGCAAGCCATACCCTCCTTTTTATAATCCATGTTATTTGTATTGTTTCTATGGTCAGGAGCTAAGGGAAAAAATGCTTCCCTTAGGAAATTCTAAATAGGAAAAAAGAAGGAAAGGAGACAGAGGGAAACTGAGTCAGGAAGGACAAGCAGGGAGGTTGGGTTTCATGTCTCTAAAAAGTAGATTCTTTCTGGAGCTAAGAGGGAGGTGCCGAATGCTACATCCGTGGGCCAGGCCCTTTGAGCCCACGAGTCCGCTTCATTGTCACAATGAATTCCACCACACAGAGGAAGAAACTGAGGCTCAGAGATATTGGTGGCTTGGCAGAAGGCCCAGCTTGCATTTGACCCATCCAGGACTCCAACTCAGGTCTGGCTGTAAAGCCAGCGCCATTGCTGTTGCTCCGGCCGACCTGACCCTTGCCTCTCCTTCCTTGCAGACACATAGAGAACTGGCGCAGCCTGAACACTCTCAATGCCGTGGACATGGAGCTCTACACTGGACTCCAAAAGCTGTGAGTATGCCAGGCCACGGACAGGGCCTCTTGCTGTGGCAGGGGTGGAATGCCACCTGTCTGATTTTGCAAGGGTGACAGTCAAGGCAAGCCTGCGGTCTGCTTTCCCCACTGTGGGTCTTAATGGGAGGGTTGGCACCACCCACTTACATGATGTCAGGGGCCATTTTCCTCATCCCCTCACCTTTCACCTTAGCCCAGAGAGCCCGGAGATTGTGTGACCACACCCTGAAATTAGGATTTCAAAGCAGACCCTGCACCCAGGCCTGCTGAGCTAGAATTCTTTCCTTGATCTTGAAAAAATCTAGTGCTAGATTTCCCATACACCTCCTCCAGGGGACTTCGGAGCTAGAGACTATTGGGGAACCAGGGTAGGGACAACAAGAAGGCACAGGGAGGGTTGTAGCCCTGTTGTTGCTGAATTGGAAGGAGCTCCTGTTCTTGCCCACTGATCAGGATGGGTAGAGGGCCATTGCCAGCTCTGCCTGCTCATATCCCAAGTCCTAAACCAGGTTCCCAAAGGGTGTGAGCCCAGAGGCCTCTCACTGAGACCTGCAGTTAGGCCAGGGATGCAATCAGGGATGATTGGTGATGAAGAGATGCAGAAAACCCTTAGGGGTCTGAAATCCTGCAAACCCCCACTCCTGGAGCTCTGCTGATCTTCTTTTTCTTCTTGCACAGGACCATCAAGAATTCAGGACTCCGGAGCATCCAGCCCAGGGCCTTTGCCAAGAACCCCCACTTGCGCTATATGTGAGTAGAGGTGGGCAGCAGGGAGCAGGTGGGGGTGCACACATGGTGACAATTCTGGGCAGCAAAACTGGAGACCTGAAATCTTGGTCTGGTTTTGCTACTGGATGCTATTGGGCAATGCCCTTAACTTTTTGGAGCCTCCAGTTTTGTCTCTTAAAATGGATTTGATAACGACTAAGATTCCTATCAGAAGGAGAAGTCTAAGACCTGAGATGAGAGGGAGGATCTCCTGGCTTTCAAGTTTGTATACACTTTTCATGATGACATTTGCATTTGCACTTCCAAGACCATGTTAGATCCATAATTGTGTGTGTGTGTGTGTGTGTGTGTGTGTGTGTTGGAGTTGGTATTGGGGGGTTGGAGGAAGAGAGAAAGCAAGACCAGACCAAGTGTGTCTAGATAAATTCTAGGTTCAATGGAAAAGAGCTCAGAGAAGTGGAGACACCTGTATAAGTTAACAGGACTTTGTTTGGGACAAGATGTAGGTTACCCATCTTTGGGTGGGGTTCCTGTCTGTCTGTGCTTCTCTCACCCAGTCTCTCCCCTCTCTGCTTCGTCTGATTGGTGAAATGGCTTCCTTAAGGGTTGGGTCTGGCTAGATTCCAGTGGGGGTTGAATCACCAGAGCTTGCTGCTTCCTCTTCAGGCCTAGTCCTGGACTGATTGATCTCAGGATTCAGTGGGAGCCTGCCATTCCTGGGAAGGAGGTGACTGATCAGGGAAACACACCAACTCACCGCATCCCATCCACAGGGGCATGCTTGTTGTCTAGGTCATCTCTCCCTCACAGACTTGCCTGGACATCCAGTGGGTGTGTTCCCAAAGAGCAAAGATTCTGCAGGAAGCAGGTGGGGTGAGTCTAATGCATTTGGGGGAGAAAACAGAGAAGGGCCATTCAGACTAGTCTTTCCTTTGGCCTCTGGGGAGTCTTACTGATAATTGGCATTTGATACTGGAAGGGCAGCATGGCTGGCTAGAAATCTCTTACGAAGAGTCCATGCTTCCAAGGGAAGCTGTTGGGAAGAGGAGGGCAGGGTAGGTGGTGAAAGGGTAAAAGATCCTAGGGAATTATGGTGGGGGAGTTGCTTTCTCTTCTGGAGAGTCCTGGTCTTACCCTCAGGCCTCAGTGTATTTTTCCAAGCAGGTTGTTAGTACTTAGTTTGTTTATCAGTTAAGGCCATCTCTGCTTTCTGATAAACTTTCTTTCCTTCCTCTGAAAATAGAAAGCTCTAAGACCATTGCTTAGGGCCAGATGTATTAGCTATAGGGGCCAAACCTCCCTTTCAGCTGTCTAATTTGCTTCCTACCCCCTTGCCCTGCTTTAGTCTCTGTGGCATGAGTCACCTGATGTGTTTTCTTTGCAGCTGTAGGAATAGCTGGGACCAAAGGAGGGCCTTGGACCAGATGTTCCAGGTGTTTATTTTATTGGGGATTTGAGTTTCATTGTGTAAAACATCCCAAGGGAAAGAGCTTTTGACATCTGAGAAGTCTCTCTTTTCATAGTAACTCATACAAAGGTCACAAAGCCACATGCCATGGCAGGCCAGGTGGGGACAGTAGAGGCTGGGGACCACATGTCCCCTCTGAAGAGTCAGCCAGTAAACATATCCAGCTGACTGCTGCCACTAGGAGGTGGAGGCCCAGTGTCCCAGACCTTGCTGTTTTGTCAAATGAGCTGGTGGTGATCCAGTTAAAGTACTCAATTTTTTAAAAAACATTTATTTATTTATATATTTATTTATTATCAAATCTCTGGTTGTAAAAAAGTACTCAATTTTTAAATGCTGGCAATTAAAACCAAGCCCCTTTAACTCCATAGCCCCCCCAAAAACTACTCCTTGGATAAAATATGGCATGCAGAGTGCTCATTTGTAGCATAGGGTCGTATTTAGGGGAAGTTGGCTATCAGTAGGGGAGAAGATTTGTCCCCTTGGAGGACAGGGCCCAGATGCTAGACCTTCTAAGGGATGGTGTTACCTGAAGCTCTCATGGCTTCAGGGCTCATCGTGTTTTTCTGGGCCACCAAAGTGGGAACAGGGGTGCATTTTGGACTATGGGTGTCTCTCAGTGGCAGGTTGTACCAGAATGTGTCTTTGGCTTGCCCTTGGGGTTCCCTAGAAGAGGGCTGTGAACTGACATCTCTTTTGGGATGGTTTGGGCTCTGTTGGTTGGTGGGCAGTGACAAAGGCTGGCTGGGCTTGCAAGATTTGCAAGGTGTTGTGGGCTGGGGGATCTGGTTGGAGCGGGTCCTGATGATACTGGAGAACCTGCTTTTGACCTTGAGCCCTATTTTTCCTGGGCACACTGGCCACTCTTGCCAAAGTGCTTGTTTTGGGGGATCATTGAGAGGCATGGGTCACTATATTCCATCCCCATTTGGGTCTGGCTACCCACTGGGGGGTATCAGAATGCTCAGCTTGGTGGGAAAAGGTCAGTACCCAGTAAGCGGCTCTGATGACACCACAGGGACCCCAGAGAAGCCTGAGGGTCACAGACAGAAGAGTCAATAGGAGGAGGCTTATGATCTGGCTCCGTCCATGGGTTTTGTTTATTAACTTTTCCCATTTATGAAGACACACCCCAAACTCTGACTGAGTGAATTTCCCGGCAGCTTTGGGACATTTTCTCCTGGCAAATGGGCCAGGTTTCACTGCTGTCTCACAACATCTTCTATTTCTGTCTCCTAAATGCATTTACAAGTCTTCAGGCCCCAGCTGAGCAATCACAAGATGATCACTTACTCCAACACTAATTGCCAAGCCCTGGCTTGGTGGCTTTTTCTTTTCTTTCTTTTTCTTTTTTTTTTTTAGGGTGATGGCTGAGAAGACTTTTCTTCTCCCCTCTGTACAGAATAAGACACAGGAAGTGATACCACTGCCGTCTGTACCCATGTCAAGTTATCTAAGGGTTCTGATTATGTCAGCTCTCCCTCACCCCAAGCCACCCCTAATATTAGTGTAATTCTTCCCCACACCAGAAAATGAGCTGCGGATGTTAAGGCCAGGATGTTTGCTACAAAGAAGGTTGAGATGAGGACCTAATTAGGACCTAGGGGCTTATTCCAACACTAGTGAGGGATGACCATCTCTTCTTGGCTACTTCAGTTTTCTCAGTCTTTTGTTGAATGTGGAAAATGAGGTATTGATTAATGTACACCCAGGAAAATCCTTTTTGAGAGACTAGAAGATTCTTGATCCTCATATTTAGATTAAGGATCCTTAAGGCTAAAGATTTCCCAAAACGGTCACTGGAGTAACTATTTGCTAATCTGCAAAGTGGGGCATAATGAAATAATGTTTATTCCAGGCATGGATGCAATAGTGATTAGATGACAGGAGCTTCATGTAGCTCTTAGCCCAGTGCCTTGCAAATTGTTGAGTTCAGAAACGACAGTTGTTCATAATGAGAGCAATTATTACATTATTGCTGGTGGTGATAATAGGACCAAAGTGGAGGGATAAGGTTACCTGATGGCTGTCCTGGCCTCTTCTTCATTCTGGATTTCTGTCCCACAATGCAGTTCATCTCTCTGTGACTGGAATATTCACATCTTCAATCTGTGGTGTCTTTCTTGCATATGGATGAATAAACCTGGAAAAATTTCTCTGTTCTCTTCATTTAGTACCCCCTGCTCTGGACTCTACCTAGACCCCTTGGTGGGTACTGTGAGTTTCAGACAGGATCTGAGCAATGGCTGTGGATGAGTGGACAACTATCTTTATTTCTAATTGATCAGAGACCACACCCACCAATACTATTGAACTTGGAATTTTCACCGAATCCCCTGAACTTCACTTCTGCAGCCGGTTCCTCTCTCCCTTTTTGGAGTTTTGTTTTCTCTGGCATGGCTCACAGGAGACCAGATCTCTACTGTCTGGAGTCCTCATAGGTAGATAAATGCAGATGCCTGTCTCTGAGCTGCATATGGCACTTTCATCTTAGAGCACCCCCTGATTTTCAAAGTGCTTCATAATTCCCTCATTGAATTCTTATAATCACTCTGGGGGTAGCCTTATTTTACAGGCCAGGAGACAAGACCAGGAAGGTCTCATTTGTAAGTAGCAGAAGCAGGGTCCTCTGGTTCTCTTTCCAGGAATCTTTCTACCATGCCTATGGGCCAAAAGGGACAATCTTTTTTTGTAGAAGGAACTACAAAACTAAATCCTAAGATGTTTAGAAAATTAAATTAAAAATACTAGTCTCCAAGGAGAAGAGGGCAAGACTAACTTGAGAACTTCCTATATGCTAAGATTCTGCAGATTTCTTACTTCTCACAGTAACTGTAAGTGTGGGCTCCTCTCTCCCCATTTTGAAGATGAGAACATTGAGTCTTAGAAGTTATGCTGAGTTCTTTTAAGGTCATACAATAAAGTAGAGGATCAGTTAGGATGTGGACTTTGGTCCTTTTGGCTCTGAAATCCAGGTAGTACTTTTATATCCCACAGTGTTGTTGTTTTTTTTTTTTTCTCTATGGTTTTTTTACAGCAAAAACTTCTTATGGTAGGGGTGGAGGTCTTTAAAGTTTTATTAGAGAGTTGCTGTTTCTTCTGGGGATTTCCACCATCCACCCTCAAAGAGCTCTGTTGAGAAAGCTCTGTTTAGTTTCTTTTTCTATTCAGGTCAAATCCTATAACAACAGTTACATTACAAACTGAGTATCTTTATTATGAAGGATTTCTTAGCATTAGCCTATGGCCTACTTATTTCCAAGAATATTTAATGTGAGATTCCAGAAAGCCAAAAGAATTTATTTAATCCCTTAGAATTGGTGGTGGTAGAATGTCTCTTGAGTTCAGTTTCTTGCTCTTTTCAAAAAGCTCTGGGTGACAGATTGAGCTATTCCTCACTCTGTTGTAAGCAAACATGCACTTAATCTTCCACTGGGAGAGCTGGCTCCCAGCTCCAGATATGGGTGCAGGATCAGGCTGGGGGGTGGGGAATGTCCTGATTTGGGCACAGTTGTGTCACCTCTGCTAGTTCACAAGGAGAGAAAGTCAGCAA